AGGTGCTTGATGCACCATCTCTTTTTGATTGTTTCCATTAGCATAAAAAATTCTTTGTTATCTTCTGTCGTAAAAAAAGAAACCAGTTTTCCCTCTTCCCATCTCCTCTCACTCATTTTCTCTGCATAGGGATGTCAGCAAAACAGAGAAAGTATCTATACTTGCTTTAACACTTCCTTTCTACCCTTTATTTTTTTGAACTCACTCTTGCACACGATTCCACTGAAACTACTCTTACTAAGATGCCCATGTTGATGAATCTAATGGACACTTAAATTTTCAGCAACATTCAACACAGTTGATCCCTTCCTTCTTTTGGGAACTTTTTCTTCTCTCCTTATTCTTCTCTGCTAGATCCTTCTCTTCAAGGCCTCTAAGTGTTGTCTTTGTTGAATCTTAGTCCTGGACCCTCTTCCACACATACACATTCTCCCTAGGTAAACTCATCCATTACATTATTTTAAATGCCTTCCACATTTATCTTTCTAATCCTGTCTTCTCCCCATATATTTTACTTAGAATCTCTACATGGATGTCTAATAGACAAGTAAAACCCAACATATCCAAACTTAATACGCTTGATTTTCTTCTTCAAGTCTGTGCTTTTCCTGGTCTTTTTATTGGGAAATAACTTCCATTTAGATGCTTAAGGGAAAAACCTAGGGGTTAATCCTTGGTTTTTCTTTCCTTCACTTATATCAGAATTCCTATTAGCTGTATCTCCAAAATAACTCCAGTTAGCCATTATCTGCTTTCACTGAAAATACACAGTAGCCTCCTATACAGTTTTTCTGCTTTCATTTTTATTCTTCTATAATCCTTTCTTCTCAGAATATCCAGAGTGATCTTCTAGAGCCATTTATTGTCCGTCTGTAGTTTTAAACTCCTGCAATAGCTCCCATCACATTTAATCTATCTTTGTAACCTCTCAAACATCTTCTTCTTCCCAGAGTGCACTCAGCTTCTCTGACCTCTTTTTTTCTTCTTCAAACAAGTCAAACCCATTTCTGCCTCAGAGGCTTTGTACTCTTTCTTCTCTCTGCTAGAATATTCTTTCCATGGCTCGTTCCTCTTCATTGTTTAGACTTCATTTTAAATCCCACATCTTTGGAGAGGACTTTCCTGACCATTCTATCTAAGTATGGCCTCCTCCAGATGCTTGCTACCAACTATATTGTTCATAGCTCCTAGCACAACTTGCAAACATCTTGTTCATTTTGCCCCTTCCCACTGAGAACTAAGTTCTCAAGAGTAGGTATTTTTGTTAGTACTGTGTCCTCAGTTCCTACAAGTCTGAGACCTTGGAGGTCCTCAAGAAGTATTTGTTGAATAAATGAATGTTTTTGTTTTCTGGACTCAAACTACTGCTATTCCCTTAAAAACGTTTTTTTTGGGGCGCCTGGGTGGCTCAGTCGGTTAAGCATCCGACTTCGGCTCAGGTCATGATCTCGCAGTTCGTGAGTTCAAGCCCCACATCGGGCTCTGTGCTGACAGCTCATAACCTGGAGCCTGTTTCCGATTCTGTGTCTCCCTCTCTCTCTCTGACCCTCCCCCGTTCATTCTCTGTCTCTCTCTGTCTCAAAAATAAATAAACGTTAAAAAAAATAAAAAAAAACGTTTTTTTTTTTTTCTTTTTTTTTTTTTTTTTAAAGTAGGCTTCACATCTAGCACGGATCCCAGCACAGGCCTTGAACTCATGACCCTGAGATCAAGACCTGAGCTGAGCTGAGATCAAGAGTCAGACACTTTACCAAGTAAGCCACCCAGGCACCCCTGCCTTTCCCTTATTATATAGCAGTTAATCATCAGTTGGTTTAAGAGTTTTTAAAACTGAGGTACCCTGAGTCCTTCTATGTATTACTCAGGCAGTTTTACTTGATCATCTTGATTCTGAATGTCTTGTTCTATGACATTATTGGTGAGAACTGAACTTGTTTCATGAGAATTTAGCATAATTGAGGCATGCTTATTAGTATTGTGATTAAAGGAGATAGATTCCAGTTTTATTGCCACCTTTTCCTATATCTGTAACCAGAAGAGAGTGCCCTGTCTTTTATGTTACTGGAAGCAGGTGGACACAGACCCATAGGCTATTGGGGTTTTGGGGTGGCTGAATCACCTATCCCTGAGTGAAAGTGTAGGCCTTAAATCTAACAGTTACACATTCATATCATATTAATGAATAGAAAACAATTACTTCATTTCTCACATTTCCTCCTTGCTGATTATCTAAAGTAAAAGAGCCTACTTTAAGACACCTCAGCCTCTTTGTGGGAAGAGGCAGTGTTAAGTGAAAGAGAAAAAAAAGATAATATACACTGTTACTGAATTTGAAGTTATTTTCAATTTAATCTGCATAATTAAGTATAGTTATGTGTCATAACAAACTTGTGTCATTTCATTGCTTTCTTATTATGTAATTTGAATATTACACTGCAACATAAAGGAAATGTGATGAATGATAGCAATTTAGTTTTTTCTGTACCTTTTAAGCATAAATCTAAATGAGACTACAGAAATGAAGTTATTACATGATTAGAGAATACTAAAACAAAGTATCTCTTATGCAAGCAGTCATGTTCTTTCCCTTATTAATATCTATAATTATCCATGAAGTAACTTTTTCCCAAGATGAAAGCACACAAGGTTATTGTATTTAGAAACTTACTTCTGAGAGATCAAGGAAATACTCTTCTCTTTGCCAGTCATGGACCAGCCATGAGTCCTTTGTGTCATTGGTTCTATATACACAGGTTTGGGTCTGTTTCCACTCTAACTAATTTAGTGTAACTTACTAATATAAAAGCAAAATAATATACCCCCAAATGAATGATTAATTGACTTATAGGATGTGCATATTCTCACTTCTAAATATTGCATTGATTTCATTTTTTGTTTACAAAAATTGTATTCCATATTCACATTTCTTTTCTCTCTTTTTTTTTGGAGAAAAATACAGTTAATTCTGAGCAACACAAGTGTGAATCTTATCTGTAGATTTTTACAGTTTAGTACTATAAATGTATTTCCCTTATGATTTTAATATTTTCTTTAACTTACTTTATCATAAGAATACAGTATATAATATATATAAAATACAAAAATATGTGTTAATCAACTGTTTATGTTATTGATAGGGCTTCTGGTCAACATTAGGCTATTAGTTAAGTTTTTGGAGAGTCAAAAGTTATACTTGGATTTTTGAGGTTGTAGTGGTTGGGGCCCCATGCCCCCTGCTCACTTGTTCAAAGGTCAACTCTTTACATAGTTCATTTTGCCTTATTAGAAATCTTTCTGTTTTGGTGCCAGAATCTCAAGGATTATCTTTATACATGTACTGTCCTGCTGTTTTGAGCCTGTATTGCCCAGTAAACTATGGGGCTTGGTAAATGAATCTTAACCCCAGAATGTTGTATGTCACCTTCTCAGAAAGACCTTCCCCACTTCCCTCGTTTCATTACTTGGTTCTCATTCAGAAGCTAGTCTAAAATTACCTTACTTATTGTCTCCTCATATAGAAAGTTAGATATGCCTTCTTTGTTTACTTTGGATCCCCAGTACCCAGACCAAGGACACTTAAGCATTTGTGGAATTAATAAATTAGTTTCTTAATCATCTATAAATAGTGCTTTAAAAAAAAATCTTGCAACAGTGAAACTCATGGTAACCGCTGAAATTGTCAGTCTGCCTGTTTGTTTTCTTTTTTCTACAGAAGACCACTTATTTTAGAGTTTAAACTCTAGCTGTAAATTAGTGGGAGTTGGTAGCCACTCAAGGAAAAGACTGTTTTATTTTTCTGCCTAATTAAATGAAATTTTCAAAAGGGTTTTTAAAATCTAGCCTTCCAACCACATACCGGTCATTTACTGACATCCATATTTGTCAGAGAATTTCGTCCCACGCTACAAAAATTTCTATTATGGAGGGGGAGTGGGGGAATTAATGGGGGTACTGAAAATTTATTTAGACCAGTTTGATCGGAACCCTGATAAATTTTGGCGTCCTGGGTTTAATAAGACTGTAAGGTCATTTTCAAGCCATGTGTTTTTCTTTGGAAAGTGGTTTTCCTCCCATCAAATCCATTTGTGTACAATTCCACTGTAGGATTCCTCTCTCCCTTACATAATAGACGTTAAGATAAAGCTTAAATCCCTAAATCCTGAGCTTCCCATCATTAGCTCTCACAAAAGGCTAATTCCCGGTATCTGGGTTCGAGGGTTCAAGGATCCTGTGGTAAACCCTGAAGGTGGCTGCCCAGAGCCCCTGGCCGAGGCCTTCTCTGCTGGAGGTCATGGCTGTGGAGGGTGTCTTGGGCAGGATTCTCCACCAGCCACGCGCTGTCAAGCTTTGAGCCCACACACCTCGCGGCCTGGCGCGGGCAGGCCCGTGGCTCCGCACTGAAAGTCTAACCTAGGTCGAACACCTTCCCCGCTGAGGGGGCGACCGAACCCGGACAGGCGCCGGATGGAGGTACAAAACCTTGGAGGCTGAAGAGGGAAGGGCAGGGAAGGGTCGATTGCCCGTGGAGCTCTAAGCATCCCGCTTTGTCGTGGGTGCAGGGAGCCGAAGCCTTCTGCATCGCAAAGTCCCGGGCATCGTAGCCTCAGATAGCAGCAGTCAACGTCACGGAGAAGGACCGTGACCCGAGCGCGTTCCCCCTTCACTTCCCCAACCACCTCTATTCCCTCCCCTCCCCTCCTTTCCGCGCACACCCCGCCCCGTGAGCTGCCACGTGAGGGAATCCACTCGTTAGCCTATGGGGGCCAGCTCCGCCCCACGCCCCCGCCTTGCCCCCTGCTCTGCGCGCCGCCACGTGATGCGGCTCACCGCCAGCCAATGGACGCCGGTCTTGCCTCGCGCCCCGCCCCGCGCGCCGTGGCCGTTTGAAGTGACTAATTTCTGTCATATGACTGAGGCGCTCATGGGGGTGGCGGGGCGGCTCTAGGAGCGGGGGCCTAGCAATCGCCCTAAGGAACAACCCTGATCTGGCCGTGGTCAGCATGGCCCCTACGCTGTTCCAGAAGCTCTTCAGCAAGAGGAGCGGGCTGGGCGCGCCCGGTCGGGACGCTCGAGACCCAGATTGCGCGTTCAGGTAGGGCGCTGCGGGGCGGCGGGGGGGGGGGGGGGGGGGGGGGGGGGGGGCGCGGAGCCGATGGCCTTGTGGGCTTGGGGCTCCAGATGTGCAGGGGCCTTCGGTGTTCGTGTCCGCGCGGCATTGCTGCGCGGGTACTTGGACCTGGGCCTCAGTGAGGTGGGGCTGGGCAGCTGGGGACTTGTGCTAGAGGGCTAGAGCGAGGTCCTGCCTCCCCACCACCCCTATCCCTCCGCTGGCCCCTTCCCCCTCCTCCCGGTCTGTTTGTTTATGTCCTGCCCGACTTCCACGCGCGGCTGTGCCTTCCCCACCGACCACCGCGGCCTGAGCGTAGGGTCCACACTCCTTCCTGGAAGCGAGTAGAGTTGGGAGCGGGCTGGGTTGGATCTCAGCCTCCGTCCTCTGGGCTGAGAAGTTCTCCCCTCCTCCTAGCGACCAAGTCGCCCTCTGGGTGTTCCATTCCCCTTACTCGCTGTTGTGGAGAGAGCTGCACGTTTTGGGCAACCTTCTGAGGGTAGAAGACTAGAGGAGCAAGTAGGCAAGGTGCCATTCTTTCAGGTTTCTTGGAAACGAATACTGGAGGTGTGCAGTTGCCGGAACGAGCGATCTTAGTGTTATCGAAGGACAAAGATGAAACCTAAGAGGTTATGGTTACTACTGACTGGACTGATTCAGATGAAATACGGTCTTAGAATTGACCATCGAATCATCCCGTTAGAATTTACCAAAAATAAGTCTAAAAATTGAAAACGATAGCAAAATCTTTTGTGGTATTACAGGCTTTGTTCATTTTTGGTTGCACTACCTGTTGCTGGCAGAAAAAACTTCGTAGAATTGTAAGATTTAATGTAATAGAAACGTGAATTCAAGGTAAAATTTAGTCTCCAAACCGCATTTGAAGAAGAGGTTATGTCTTTCACATAGCCTTCATACTTGCTGCGGTGTGGAAACTTGTAAATATAACTGGGCTAAATGTCACGTATCACTCAAACCTGGTAGGACAGCAGAGAGCCCAGTTGTTCAGTAGTAGTAGGAAAAAATGAGAGTCTGTTAAATTTTGCAACAGGCAAAAGTTTGAAATGACTGTACCACACTGGTACAAGGTTTTGATATTCTTAAAATTATTCACTCTCTTTGTAATGCAGGTCACGTTATTAAACATTGAGTAATACATGTGGAATTGTAGTATTAAATGGAAAGAAATTCACCGACTTTTAGAGAAAGAAAAATCTCAATATGGACATTTTGGAAAGGTGTTTATTTAGTAAAAGATGTTTTTCTAGGTTTGGGTCTTTTGCACTTGGAAATAAATGCCTTGCCATGCTCATCTAATAACTTTTTTTTTTTTTCAACGTTTATTTATTTTTGGGACAGAGAGAGACAGAGCATGAACGGGGGAGGGGCAGAGAGAGAGGGAGACACAGAATCGGAAACAGGCTCCAGGCTCTGAGCCATCAGCCCAGAGCCCGACGCGGGGCTCGAACTCCCGGACCGCGAGATCGTGACCTGGCTGAAGTCGGACGCCAACCGACTGCGCCACCCAGGCGCCCCATCTAATAACTTTTAAAAAACGTTTCTTTCCTGATTTTCTTTTGAAAGATGAAAGTGTAGTCTAGTTAGTACTCCATTGAGACATCCAGTAAATCAGGAGTCAGTAGAAAGCAGGTTGAGAATATTATAAATGTGACACTTGATTAGGCTTTCCATTTCTGGGCAAAGATTGACTTTGGGATACTCAGGTTTCCAAGGGTCTCAAGTCACTCACTCGTGAAAAAAAAATTTTCGTGTCTATTTTTAAAAAATGTAAAGCCTACTATATAGTTGTGTAATAGTACTTTAGAGTTGCCAAAGCACTTTCTCATTAGTTATCTCATGTGGTATTTCACAACAACCTTGTGAGATAGAACAAGTAGCAATATAGATAACTATGTGATCCTTTTTACAGTGGAAGTAAGAATTATGTGTAAGCCCAATAAGTGCAGTACAATTTAGAAATGATTGCTTTTAAAAATAAAATGTGTACAAGTGTAAATGTGAGAAAATGAAAACTGGTTAACATTCACACAGCTAGTAACTTGTAGATCTAGTTAGCCCAGGTATTTTTTTTTAAACAACTTCACTGGGCTATAATTTACATGCAATGATATTGAGCCATTCTAAGAGCATAGTTCTGTGAATTTTGTTATATGTACACAGTTTTGTACTCACTACCCCAGTGAAGTTTTAGAATACTTCCATCCCCAGAAAGTTCCCTTAAGCCTCTTTGCAGTCCATTCTTAAACTATTGTCACTCAAGGCAGTCCCTTATCTGCTCTAATGACAAGAGGTTTGACTTTTCTAAAATTTCCTATAAATGTGATCATATTGTTTATATAGCCTTTTCTGTCTGGCTTGTTTTAAATCAGAGTGATGATTTTGAGATTCATCTAAGTTGCACTTATCAGTAGTTCTTTCTATTTTGTTGCTGAGTAGTATTCCATTGTATGGATGTACCAAAATATGTTTATCCATTCACTACCAACTGGCAAACATTTGGGTTGTTTCCAGATTTGGGCTGTGATGAACAATGCTGCTATGAACATTTGTGTACAAATCTTTATGCAGACATATGTTTTCATATCTCTTGGATGGTTACCTAGGAGTGGGATTGCTGGGTCACATGCTAGGTATCCGCTTAACTTTTTAAAAACTTGGGGTGCCTGGGTCGCTTGGTTAGTTGGTCATCCAACTCTCGATCTTGGCTCAGGTCATGGTCTCAGGGTCATGAGATCCAGCCCTGCATCCATCTCTGTCCCAACAGCATGGAGCCTGCTTGGGAGATTCTCTGTCCTTTCTCTCTCTGCCACTCCCCCACTCGTGCCTATGCACTCTCTCTCTCTCGAAATAAATAAGTGACCTTCAAAAAGGAAAGAAATTTTTTTTAAAAATTGCTAAACTTTTCTGAAGCAATTGTACCATTTTGTTTTCCCACCGGCAGTGTGTGAAGTTTACAGTTACTCTATCCTCTCCAAAAGCTGATATTGCTGGTCTTTCAAAGTTTTTTTTTTTTTTTTTTTTTTTTTTTTTTTTTTTTTTGTATTGTAAAAAACACCAACAGTATTTACCGTGTTGACCATTTTTGAGTCTTTCTGATTATAGCCATTTTAGTGGATGTAGTGGAATCTTACTGTGGTTTTGATTTGCATTTCCCTAATAACAAATGATGTCACTCAGGTTTTTTAAAAAAAATTTTTTTTTTTTCAACGTTTATTTTTATTTTTGGGACAGAGAGAGACAGAGCATGAACGGGGGAGGGGCAGAGAGAGAGGGAGACACAGAATCAGAAACAGGCTCCAGGCTCTGAGCCATCAGCCCAGAGCCCGACGCGGGGCTCGAACTCCCGGACCGCGAGATCGTGACCTGGCTGAAGTCGGACGCTTAACCGACTGCGCCACCCAGGCGCCCCTAACTCAGGTTTTAGAGTAGATTAAAATTTCATTCCAGTATATCATGCTTTCCTTTCTAGAATCCTTTTTTGGTTTTGTTTTGTTTTAGTCAGCTTAAGTTGTTAAATCTGACTTGGACACTGTTAGCCATTGGCAACTAACCATAGTTCAGCGTCTAAGAGTCAGTTTCTAGAGTTAACAATATACAAGGCACAGTGGTAATAAGTCACAGTAGGGCTCTAGGATAGGAGAAACTTGTGATATGAAGCTTTAGGAGCCTTAAAATATTGTGTGCTTATCTAAGCTTCTTGAGCTGGAGATGATTGTGAAAAATATCACAGGGATATTATTTCAGTAATTTGTAGAATTAAAACAATAACTTGTTTCATAGTTTGGAGAATTTGGGGAAGAAGTTTCTTTTAGGAAAATGAATAGTTTTGTTTTCTCCATCACACCACTTTGCAATGGAAGAATTAAGTGTAAGTCCAATAACTATAGTGCATATGAAATGATTGCTTTAATTTAAAAATAAAATTTCTGGGAAGAAGTCTAATTTGGAGAAGAAGTTTGTTTCAGAGCTAAATGTCTGTAGGACATAATTAATGTTTAGTTAAAAAATTCTGTATTTTTGTTTTATTCTTAATACGTGAACTTTTGCTCTTCCTGTCTGTATCAGAAATTCTTACCCTGTTGTAACAATCTTTTAATTGTTCTTTTTTCTGTTCCTCTTGCCTTTCTCCAGACTATTCTCAACGCTTCATCCTTTACAAATGCTAATTCTGATTATGATCAGCATGCAAAGTGTTATAGAATTTAATAGCTGCATTACAGAGTTATTTTAAGGATTCAAAGAGATAAGTCATGGTTAAGTACTTAATGCAGTGCTTATTAGCACATGACATTCAGAAACCAGAAGTTGTTGTGCTATGATGATTCCATGTTTATGTGTAAAACCATTCTGTTTGGGCCCAGACTCCTTAAAGTGGCCGTATATTGTGTGGCTTTTGCAAAGTTTCTAGCCTTGACCTTGTTTTTAAATTAACTTAAGGTCATTTTTAAAAACATAGCCATTATTCTATTATTGTAGATATTTCTTAATATTATCTATTCTTAGGCTATATTAATATTTTCTTAGTTGTTTCAGTATGTCTTTTTACAGTGGCTTTGTTTGGATTAGAATCTTAAAAGGGTCTGTATATTATATTTGCAGTTACGTTGCTTAAGTAATTTTGATTCTATAACATCCTTCTCACCCTTTTAAAATAGGATTTGTTGCTGAAACTGGGTTATTTTTCCTTTAAAATTTCCCACATTCTTTATGTTTGCTTTCTTATGGGTTTCTTTAATTTAGTGCTTCCCAGCAATGTGTGTTTTAACCAGTTCCTTCCAGGTTATTCTCATGCTCAAGATTGAGGACCACTGCTTTAGCTTATTATCTATTTCCTGAGAACTGGTAGTTAGATACTTTATTAGATTCAGGTCCAGTTTTTTTTTTTTTAATAAAAATATACCATAGATGTTTCTCGTATACTTCCTTTCCATTAGAATTACATAGTGTCAAGTTGTCCCCCTTTT